GCCAAACCGACCGGTCGAAGACCCCGGGAACGGTTAAGATTAACCTGGGACAAGTGTATGAAAGGACTCTACTCCAGACTCAGGTTAGCTTTTATCGAAGCTGAAATGCTGGGGCAGGATCGGAAACGTTTGATGCACTCTGACGCGTCTGCTAATCGATCTTAAAGGCTATGCGGTTTTCGAAGCTGGGTGATTCAGTGAAATATCTTTTAAAGGTTATTTGGTTAAACTGTTATTGATTTCAGTGAGCACGACGTTGAATCTTTCGAAGCATTTTCTAACCTAAAGATTTTATTGTAAATGCCGATGAAGACCTTCCTCTTGACCGTTGAGACATGCAAAGATCGTCAGCTTGCCTTTCGCTTTTCCTGTAGGAATGTTATATATTCTGATTCTGTTTAATGTTACACTTCAAATTTAATATTTATCCCTGTATCATTTCTTCATATGTTGACAGCTTAATCTTGTTTCAGTCATATGGTTGGTTCAATTTTTCCGGCTCAAGTAAACACGAAACGTTGCCTGCTCTGTGCCTTTGGCTTCAGCGCTATTTAAACGTGCTGATTTCCAACGTCTGTTTTTCACTCTCGTATTTCTGACTGCCGTGACAACGATTACTTTCAGTTCACGCTATATTTTCATGACGTATTGATTAGGCAAACAACGCCTCGAGAAATGCAAGCCCATCTTGCGAAAGTACCTGTAAATTACATATTGAAGTAAGCGTTTCTTTTGTAGCTGTGTACGTATGTTTTGAAGTGGTGTGATGAAAACGTTTTAGGTGGAGTTGAAGTGCTAAAATCTTATGGCCAGAAGGACTAATAATAAGTACTAGAAACATCAAGTTGTACATGCAGTAAATCTCAGTGAATAAGGCAAAAACTACTGACAAAAATATAAGTTGTTTTCCCATGGCACACACTGCCTCTCCCTGTTGATGACTCTAAGGAACGTTGCGAGCTGATAAAGCAAGGAGCAGTACAAAGCTACTCAATGTCAGGATTATTTTTGCAACGTTTGTTGCATAATGTTCCCTGAAGATCGAAAACGTGTCGACTTTGTTTAATAAAGCTTTTATATGGAATAAACCCTTTATAGATTTTGGCGATAAAGAATTGAGAATGTTAAATTATAGAAACCTTGAATTATTGGCTCATATAGGGTCTCTTATTTTAAAGTAATAGTCGAATAGATCATTCGTAACGAATGACTGTGCAATTATGCCAGGCATGCTCGCAGAACCATTCGTTTTGGCACTGAATTAAAGTGTATTAGAAACCTTTTCAATTCCGCCGTTACCAGTCCCGAGCTCAATTGAGAAAGGAGGAGAGTTGGAGACCGTGTCGAAGTCTTCGTAAAATTTCGCTTTCTGCCATTCATCGTATTGACGTCTCTGAAAATTATACCGGCTCGGTAGTCGCCTGGGTTACCAAGGACCTAGCAGGCTGTTGGGGGACTGAGTAAGACTGCGAAAAGTCGGCGATCAGAACCTGCTCATCGCCTTCTGCCAGCCGAGGGCGTAGCAGCATAACAACGGCTGACGAAGGTCGACGGAACGACGACGAAGATGCCAGTCAGCGACGGAGTCGACATCACTTCTGAACGGAGGAAGCAGACAGCGCAATTATAGAACATCATAAAAGGTTCCATGAGAACGACACCGCCAGTGCGAGCTTACAGTCAGAAATTGGAATATATCCTCACTCAAAGGGAAAGAGCATGAGTTAGTTCATGAGGCCATTAAGTACCAATTCGACATTTTTTGATTCTCGTCAACGAAGCGCCAAGGCTCTGGAATCCTGAACCTCTGCGGGTGGAAGCTATTCTGTTCAGGTGTTGATATCACGACCCGCTGTCAGGCCGGTATTGCTGTTCGGGTAGAACCCAATATCGCTGATAGAATTATTGCTTGGCAGCATTTCAGCCCAAGGGTGACAATCCTCCGATTAAGGCTATAACTGGCTAAAGCGCTGATCT